CGCTTCGCCCACAGGGACTACAAGTACCAAAGGAATAGTGCTCAATCACCGGCTCGCTGGCTCCCCCTTCTCGCTTTATCCGCCGGGGTAGGCTAGTGTTTGAGGGCATTGATCAGTCCTGCCTCTTAGTTTTCGTTGCGTCACTTGGTATGAGAAATATGTTGCGGGAGTGTCTCTCGTAAGTGTTTCCTCAGAGCCCGGCACCTCCCCAGTTAGAGACAGACAGCTGGAGCCTTCTGAAGACCTTTCACATGTCTTCTGGACAAAGCCATGTTGCGGGGCTGAGGCAGAGGCAGTTTGGGGTTGATCAGGCCAGGAGGTGAGGGCAGTTGGGGGTGATCAGGCCAGGAGGTGAGGGCAGTTGGGGGTGATCAGGCCAGCAGTGGGGGGTAGTTGGGGGCGATCAGATCAGCAGGGTGGGCAGTTGGGGGCGAGAAGGCTGGGGGGGGAAGTTGGGGGTGAGCAAGCCGGCAGGCAGAGTGGTTAGGAGCGATCAAGCAGGCAGGCAGGTGAGTGGTTAGGAGCCAGTGGTCCCGGATTTCTAGAGGGATGTCCCCAAGGGATCCCAGATTGGAGAGGGTGCAGGCTGGGTTGAGGGACACCCCCTCCCCCGTACATGAATTTCATGCACCGGGCCACTAGTATTGTAATAACAATGCATGGGACCAGGTGTGTACTGGAATTTTCAGGGGAGACACCCAGTAAAATATGTGTAACCCCTGTGCTGTAATGGAAAAAAGTTAAAAACAAAATAAAAACAAAAAAGAGAATTTGGGGAATGTGAGGCGTTCCATAACCTTGGAGCCACGGGAAATGGGTAGCCGTGCTGGAATGAAAAGCTCCCACGTGAGAAATCTGTGCGAGTTCCCATCCGCGGAGAACCACGTCCAGCACAAACGCTGGGAACCTGCCGGTCGGTCTCCTCGCTGGAAGTGTTAAATCTGCTCTCCTTGGACGAGTGTTCTGATGGGAATCCACCAGGTAACAACCAGGTCACTCGGTTCGCTTCTGTAACACGGCCGATGTTCTGAACTGTGCCTCTTCCACATGGAGGCCACATTTCCAGTTCCGCGTGGGTGTGAGGCCATAGGTGGCATACAGGTGGCTCAGCGTGCAGCTCGTTGGCGCGCCAGATGTTTCTGACACACGCCTCTGCACCCCACTTGGTTTTTCCAGCAGCAAGGGGACTTGGGTGCAGCCCAACAGTACACAGACCGCTTCAAAGTCCCAAATGGCGGCTCCCCGTGAGTCACAGCCCGAGGCTGGCAGACGTGGCACTGAACCCCTGGCGGGGGCATCGCTACAGCCAAGACTCAGACCTGTGTATCTCACTGATCAAGATGAGAGGTCGGGTGTGTGTAGAAGGGGGCAGTCGTCCAGAAGCTACTGGTTCACGGCATCCTGCACGGCCATGGCATACTCATGCCAGCTCAGCCTGGTTCAGTGACCCTGGGGGGCGGTGCAAGGCTTAGAAAAGACAGACAAGAGAATGAAAGCTGGGTCTCAGTGGGACGCTGCCCCTCTGATGGACAGCGCCCGCGCCCACAAGCCGTGTCTTTATTTTATAGCAGATGCCATGAGGCAAAGATCAATGCCACGAGGGGCGTGATCAAGATGTTTACATCATTCTTGTGGGTTTCAACCCTACTCAACTACATGCACCCGAACTCTATCACTCAGGCACGTGGGGGCATGTGTTCGGACCATAGCAGTGGGTCTCAACCTTGGCTGCACATTAGAATCGCCTGGGAATCTTTTTAAAATCCTGATTTCTGGGTCCCATCCTTCGGAAATTCTGTTTCTTTGTTATGGAGTGGGGCCACAACATTAGTAACAAAGAAACCGCCTTTATGGAGGATGGGGCCCAGAAATCAGGATTTTAAAAAGATTCCCAGGTGAATCTAATGTGCAGCCAAGGTTGAGAACCACTGGACCATAGGTTCAAGCTTACAGCTACAGCTGTTGGCTATAATTGTGCTGGGAGGGCCCTGCCCTCCAAGCTGGGACTTGCACGTGGCCACGAGAGGACTGTGCCCTCTCCTCAGTCCAAGGCTTGAACCTGTCCAAACACTGTAGCCGCGCCCCACGGAAGGTGTCGGGATTCGGCCTTGATTTCTCACTGAGGCGCTGCTCTGTGCCTGAGTTAACATTCACTGCAGAGCAACCCGAGGTTTACAGGGCTGGAGCCTGACTCCCCCCGATTTGCAGACCCCAAAGGGGTTCTATTCCGATGGCTTATTTATTAACACCCCCTTCGATGTAAATCACCAGTTACAGTCAAGGCAGCATTTCTGGAGGAGAAGTAAGGACCAGATAGGGGTCTGGGGGTGTTTTATTCCAGCGGAACTTGTCCCTAGGTTGCCCCATTCACACCTCTCAGAAGGGGCTTTGCCAGATGAGGGGGGAAGTCAAGTGGAGAACTGTATTCTGTGTCTTGTTCCAGTGTTTTCCACTGCAAAGTCCACGAGCATGTGCTGCCTGCTAACCCAGGGTCTGACGGTGTCAGGCTGCCAGCGTGGCCTTCATGGGCCCCATCTGATCGTGTCGGATCCCGTTACACAGGCGTGGCCAGAAGTAGGTGCACAGGTGTGCGTGTGGAAGGTAATAGAGTCACTAGTAGAAGTAAGACAAGCGTGGGCTGTCTCACACACTCACCTGTCCGCCGGCTGTGCCGCCCTGCACCTCACTCACCTCGGCATCGAGAACTGGCAGGCGGCTGGAGCTGGGGGGTCAGCTCTGAGGGGAGCGCGGCCGTGGGAGCACGTTTGTTCTCGAGGAAGGAGGAGGGCGTCTGCTCCCCGCAGTGTCCCCGTGAGGATGACACACATGTTCCGTGTTCTGTCAGCAACCACTGTCTCGGACGCTCACTCCGTCCTGATGCCGTGTGAGGTGCGGGTTCACCTGAGAGACACCCGCCTGCAGGGGAGGGGGGCTCAGTGTCTGGGGGGCCAGCGTCGGCATCTCCGTGTTCCCCTGTCCCCAGGGTTCCCATCGGGAGCCTGGCGAGCACGCTTGGCCCAGGTCTGTTTGCTGGCGGAACCTCCTAGAAGAGCAGCGCTGGGCGAGGGCTCCCCAGGGCGGGGCAGGCACTGTGGGTGGAGAGAGCATCCGAGGGAGGGAAGGAGGCGCCGGTGCAGGGGGACGCGGGCCTTGGCCGGGGGGCAGGTGCGCTCAAATCTTACTCTGCTGGGCGCACCTCCGTGGGAAACCTCCCACCCCTACACGTGGATGCTACATGGCTTTCTCACTCATCTCATCGGAGAGAATGGGAATTTTTGAAAAATGCCACAATGTGTCAGTGCAGCTGGCTTGTGAGTTCTGTTGTCCTGACTCACTTATCCTGAAGTGCAGCTCAAGCATGACTTGCCTCTTTAATAAATAGTAGCAAAAACAAACAAACAAACAACAAAAAAGGCTCCAGAGCAGCGATTCTCAACCTTCCCAATGCCGCGACCCTTTAATACAGTTCCTCATGTTGTGGTGACCCCCAACCATAACATTATTTCCATTGCTACTTCATCACTGTCATGTTGCTACTGTTATGAATCGTCATGTAAATATCTGATATGCAGGATGTATTTTCATTGTTACCAATCGAACATAATTAAAGCATCGTGATTAATCACAAAAACAACATGTAATTATATGTGTTTTCTGATGGTCTTAGACGACCCCTGTGAAAGGGTCGTTCGACCCCCAAAGGGGTCGTGACCCACAGGCTGAGAGCCGCTGCTCTAGAGAATTCGCAGGACAATTCCCTCTCAGGCCTCGTGTTCGAGAGAGGGAGACGAGGCTGGACATAGTGGACTGTCCAGGCTCGACACCTTCCTGTACACGACGCCTCAAGGATTTCCAGAAACTGGAAGAAACACCCCAGCACTTGCGCTGGAATTAAGCAGCGGGTTTCCGGACGTGGACCCTATGTCGTCTCGGCACGGGGTCTGGGTGGTTTCCTGCGGCTGCAGCTTCGGCCGATGGCCTGGTTTTCCAGGTGCTTCTAGTGGCCCCGCCACCGCGGGTCACCCCCCCCCCAGAGGGCCCAGGGGTCCCCGCAGAAGCCTCAGCAGATGCGTGAGCTTAAGACTCTAAAGTCGGCTTAATCGTCAGACATCGGCACGCCGCTGTGTAGCTGAGTGCGATTCTAAGTTACTGTGCAACTGGGATACATTTGTTCTTCATTTTAATTGGTGTGAGAAGTCGGGGTTATGCTTTTCATTAACAGCCACTCGAATCCACAGGAAAGAAAACCGCACATTTAGCCGCAAACCCCAGGTCTCTGAGCTGCTTCTGGACACACACGGGCGCAGCCAGGGGTGCCCCTCAGGCCAGGACTCCCCTCACGGTCTAGTCGCCCCACACGAAGGCGGCGCCCCGTTCTCCGCACCTCGAGGAAGGAAAAGTGGCAAGTTGATGATTTTATTCAGGTTGAAGCGCTCATGTGGTTCCCACAAGGATCTACACCTCCTCAGTCCTGCCTTTGGGTCTCTGAGGCCAGGAGTGAGGCCCCGAGTGAGGCCCGGCTAAACCGCCTACAGGCTGAGCCCCCTAAAGACCCTCAGAGCCAACCTGTACCAGCGGACACTTTCCCTGGGGAGCATGTATTCCCGTCAAATACAATCTCGCACCAGCGGGGAGTTGCCGGGATCACGGAGCCGCCCCTGTGCACCCCATCGCATGTGCCGGGGTCTCAGGAAGTGGCGCGCAATCCGCCTGCCAGTCTGTGCCGAGGACACGGCGGTGTGTGGGCTGTGTCACCCTGGCCTCCAGACCCCACGGGATCTCAGCTGTCAGAGCCTTTTCCTCTGCCCGGGCCCAGGCGTCACACGGTGGCGGGGCAGGTGGAGGGCAGCTGGCGGACACGAGCCACCGTCACAGGCAGCGAGCACCCCGCCCGGCTCTCCCTGCCCCCACACTCCTCGGGCTACTGGTCACCTTTCTTTTCTGAGGAGAAACCTGTGAAAACAGCAGGAAGATGTTTCAGATTGAAAATAAACAGCCCACCTCTCTCTCTCCTGGCTGAGGGTTAGTGTAAACCTCTGGGCTGGTAAAGCAGAAATGGTCTATTGGTGAGCTGCCCACACGTGCCCACCGAGACCCCCTGAGGCAGGAGGTGGCAGGTGCTGCTCTAGGCGCTGGGAGGCCCCGTGCGGCCAGGGGCAGCCGTGCCCGAGGAACGCTCTGTCCCTTCTCCTGCGGGCGGGCAAGGCATGTGCTTTGACACTGCGTCATACGTGCTGCTGGTAGAGTCAGTATTTAACCAGAGAGACAGCTTGCCAGGTAAACGCCTTTTAAATATGGCCCTGGGTACCGGCCGTCAAAGCCACAGAAGAGAATGATAGGGGGGACTTATAATCTGAATTAATCTGAAAATAATCATAGTATTTTAAATCTCAGAACACATATACTTATGTGAATAGGGGGTTACGTTTTCCTTAAGTTTCCTTTTCAAAGTCTCTGCGAAGCAATTGAGAAGGTGACTCAGCTGTGAATCCAGCAAACAGACCGATAAGCATGGTCAGATGACCCACCAGGTGTCAAAACATCATCTCAGCAACATCATCTCATCCACATCATCTCATCGCCTGAAGCCTGAGGATGATAGTTGACATCCTCGAACCCCAGGCCTGCATGTAGCTGTATTCCTCACCCCAGCCCCTTCCCCTTTATAATCCTGTCTCCTGCACCTGCTCTAAGATAGGATTTGATGCTTGTAAGTGCCCTGTCTTCTTGGTGGGCTGGCCTTCTCAGCAAACGCCTTATCTGAGTCAACCCTGCCTTCCTTATTGGACACAGCAACAGGGCCCGAGCCCAATGGGGTTTCCGGTTACAAGATCGCAGTTTGATGAGGCACTCACCCTGAAGGAGAGGGCATGTGAAGGTAGGGCATGAAGACCAGGATGGAAACCTGGGGGCAGCTTATAAGACCAAGATAAGATGCCAGAGTGGGAGCCACAAGAAGACAGAGTCCAAGTGGCCCACTCATGGCAGCAGGAAAAAAATGCTATTGATGCCGAGAAATGAGGTGCTTCCCTTATTCAGTGACAACCTAGAATGTCCTAGGGCCGTGGTGGGCAAACTGCGGCTCACGAGCCACATGCGGCTCTTTGGCCCCTAGGGTGTGGCTCTTCCACAAAATACCCGGATCGCTAAGGGTGGACACGTCAGACCCAGCTTAGCCCCCCGTGTGAAGGATGGGGAGGTGCAGGGGGGACTGGCAGGCGGCTGTCACCAAGGACGAAACAAACAGCGCAAGGTCACAGTGTTCCAGGAACGAGGACGTCATTGTACGTCCCATTCTGAGAGCAGATGAAACAAGACTAACAGGTTCTTTGTCAAATCACATGTTTCTAAGCAGAAGCATTAACAGCTGTGGACTTCAACGTATAAAAACCCCATTAGCTAACGCTGCACAGAGAGAGAGCCTGATGCGTCTTAAATGCCTTGAAAACCTCCATCGAAATCTTCAGTTTCTGAAAGAAGAGTTGATTCTCAGTGTGTCCCCAGAGCACAGCCTCGGACAGTGACCGAGAGAAAGGGGAGATGAGTGACCCTGTGGCTAACCGAGGCGGCCAGCACCCCTGATCCAGCCCTGGCCACGGAGCCTTCTCTGCGTCCCCACTTTTAGGGGAACCGCCTGTGCTGCACTTCCCCTCTCTGTGCGAGCTGCCACCTTCTAGAATATGATCCTGGTCCTCACACGCAGACCCCCCAAACCCTCTGCCCAGGGGGCCCCCGGCCTGCTTCCAGGCCTTGTCACCCTCTCCCCAGGCCTGGCACAGGTGCTGCTTGTGGAGTGGGGAGGAGTGTGGTACACCAGCCAGGCTGCCCTCAGATTCTGTCTGACCCTCCAGGAGCATGGTGGACGGGCAGGTGGACGGGCAGGTGGACGGGCAGGTGGACGGGCAGGGCGCCACTGAGTCACGGCCCAGCGCTGGATGGACGCTGAGCATCCGAGCCCTCCGCTGGCCTCGGGCTGGGTAGCGGCAGGAGGGGAGACTGGCTGTCACGCAGTCTGAGCCTGACTCAGGAGGTCTATTCACACACAGAGCAGCAGCCCGGCTCCAGGTCTGTTAAGGGAGGGTCTGGTGACGTCAGAGAAATGTAATCACCTTGTATGCCCCTTGTGCCTTTAAAAGCCCCACAGGCTGATGCTCTACAAACACTGAGCGTAGAGGCGCCACACCACCGTTTCAGGTTAAGTTGTCCTGAAGAGGAGCAGCTATAAGGGGAAGGTATTAGGGAAAATGTAACGTGCTTCATACAGTGCGGCCGGAAAGGGAACTTGTCAGCAGTCACAGGAAGTTGATAAAACGGAGACCAAGACCAACAGCCAAGCACACACACTAATTCATGTCAATTTAAACGTCCACGTTCTGAAAGGACCATTTTCACTTAAATATAAGCAAAGTGGTTCAAGTTCTTCTATGAATAAACAGGAGTTTTAAGAAATAATTTTCATTTATAGATGATCAGAGTCTAATTTTCCACCCATTTTTCCTTCTGTTGCTTGAATTGTGTTACTTGTGCCCCAAAATATAGGGGGCCTTGACAAGTAGCCTAATCCTGAATGGTGGGGTATAAGTATATTAGTCATATAATAAAACAATGACTACTGTCTAAACCACAACATCTGTGCAATAAAAGATCTCTAAGCCCCTATTTGCTTAGCTACCAATACCACCGAATTACCTTGGAGAATTTGAGCAATTGGGTTGGCCCTACACACCGAAATGAGCTTTCTGATTAAATGAACACACAAAAAAAGCCCTGGCCAGGTGCTCAGTGGTTAGAGCGTGTCCCGAAGACTGAAGGCTCTCACGCTCGATTCCAGTCCAGGGCACAGACCTCGGTTGCAGGCTCCATCCTGGCCCCGGTCAGGTGCATGTGGGAGTGCATATGTCTCTCTCACATCAATGTTTCTCTCTCTGACTCTCCCCCATCCCTTCTATTCTCTCAAATGGAAAAAAATATCCTGGGGTGAGAATTAACAATAACAACAATAAAAAAAAAAACACCCAACCACCAAGAGCCACTGCTGAAACGAAATAACGACACATGAGAGGCGGGTGCAGGGTGAGTCCAGCATCTCCCACTGCGGGGGACCTGGCTGGAGCTTTGAAAGAGCGTCAGCTTTGGGAGCTGGCGGGGGAACAGCAGGGGCCGCAGCCGTAGATTTCTGTGTTGGGAGGAAAAGGACAGGATTCGAATGGCAACCAAGCCCCCCGGCCGGGTTCCCCCAGGGCCACAGGCCCCGGCTGCTCCTGACGTACTAGTATGTGCCACGCACCGGACCGTGCACGGGACCGGGCCTCCCCTGGGATGCGGTCAGTGGCTGTGAGCAGCACGGAGCACACGCAGGTGTCCGCCCGAGGGAAGAGGAGATCACCGAGGGTGTAACGCCGCTTCCCAAGGGTACGCCCCGTTCTCATAGTCAAAGCTCTCATTTTATAAACTTCTAATGCAGCAACGGGCACGTTTTCAGGGCCCTGTGGGCTGTGACTCAAGCGCAGGTGTGGGGTTCACACACGGGGGATTTCACCGCAGGCCGGAGTCTTCCTATGGGGACTCGGCCTGCTACTCACAGTCCTAGAGACGGTATCGCAGTAAAAACTGCTTTATAGCATCTTGTGAAGATTAGAACAGTGCTTTGAAGATACTCAGGTTAACATATAATAGAGGCTTGGTGTGGTGTTTTTTTTTTAATTTTACCTCTGTAGCAACTCACACAGCATATTTATATGTCACAAAACTCTATTTCTTCCCAAGTAGATAAAAATCAGTAGGTTTCCTATACCAGCTGTAAAATCCTATATTTTTCATATTTTATTTTGGTTCATCTCAGCTCGTTTCCATTTTATATCATGATTAGCTTCTGTAACGCTGGTCCAGGAAGAATCTAATAGTGACATATAGATGGCCTGATGATATTACTGAATTTTCTTCTGAGTAATTACAGTTTCTAGCAATTACACTGTAACTCGGGAAGAAAATATCTTTAATATTCATTCCAGACCAATCCAAAATGGAAAATCATAATTTTGGGGTGACAACTCAGCTATTAAACTTCGCTACCAGATTTCAACATCACAGACACCCCCAGCGGTGACGGTGGGAGACAGCAGCCTTTCCAATAGAAGCTCTCACTGGGGCTGCACTAAGCACCTCTGAGAACCAGCGGTGGTGTTTGTAGTGGAAGCAAAGGAGGAAGAAAGCCTGCTGTTTTCACATTCCCTCTTTCCTCTCTGTGACGGTCTGAGCCCAGGCCTCTGTCACGCCCGTGCAGGTGTACACGGCTGGCCAGGTGTGCACACCACAGCTCCAGGGGCTCCATTCCCGACGGCCAGGGGCAGCCCTGGGACAGGTGAGGGTCACAGCCTGGCAGCTGCATGGGTGCCCCCGTCCCCAGTTCTCTGCTCCTCCCCCTCCGCCACAGTGGGCTCCTTGTCCTGAAAACCCGCGTTCTGTGACCCCAGGCGCAAACTCAGTGAGCTCAGCTTCCAGCGTGGCCTGACCCTGGGTGGGCTCAGCCTCAGCTTTCCCAGGTGGAGTCCCGCCTCTGGCAGCGAAGTTCCCAGGACCCCGGGTGTGTGTCCTCAGACTTACATGCGTGCACCTCGGACTTCAGCCTGTGTTCGGAGGGAAGTGGGACCGTGATGCTAACTGGGCCAGGCCGGCCTGGCGGACACGGCCCACTCCTGGGTGGCCGCGTGAGAAACACGCTGGAGAAAGGGGAGCAGGTTCTGGGAAGGAGGAGAAGAGGGGAAACCAGAGGAAAACGAGATGAAAGAGTCCTCCCAGGTGTGGGCACGCTCTGTGACTTTCTAGTCTCTCCAGCAGCTCGGAGGTGGGCGTGTGGCACGCCCGGTGGAACGGGGTCTGCCATCGCCATCGGGGACACATGTGAGCCTCAGGTTTCCTCTGTCCGTGTGCCAGTGACATTGGGAACATCTGTGGGGTGAGCCCCCCGCCCCCGGCCGAGGGGGGAGTATCTGCCTTTGGAGAGGAATCACAGAGCCCGTTGCGGCTGCACCCGCTCCCAGTCTGCCTCTTGGCCCAGATGGGGCCCTGGCTCTGAGGCTGGAGCGGAGCGGCAGCCAGAACCGGCCCACGCGCTTCCCGGTGAGAACCTCTGTTCTTCTGCAGGACGGCAGGCCTAGCCCAGGTGTGCGGAGCATAGCTGTGTGCGCAGCACAACCCTGTAGCGCTTCATCCACACAAACCTACGCAAGTGAGCATCCCCCGGAGGCCCCATTAGGACGCAAACATGACAGAACATGCGGAGCAGCTGTGGCCTTACCGTGTGCCGCGTGCTGCGCGTCTGGGGGCAGTCGGCCCGGAGCACCCGCTGGCGGTCTGGCTGTGTGGACAGGAAGCCTGGTTAGTGCGTGTGGATCAGACATGCAGAGGGGCGCGTGCAGAGGGTGACGAGGCTGCACAAGGTCGCTTCTACCTGAGCCGCTGGCGGTCCTGCTGGTCTCTGAGGCCCCCCTCAGCACCGGGGCCCCCTCCGGACTCCCCCACCCCCACAACCCACCCCATGGAAGGCCAGATGTGACTGCTCTGGGTTGTGGCACATTTTCTTTTTCCAAAACAGATGTGTTCTGGATGTCTGCCGAAGTATAAACACTTCTGTAAAACTCACTATAGCCCATAAATAAAACAAAGCCATTTCCTATCAACAAATAACAAAAGAAAAGTTCTTTTTAGAACTTCACACAGGAGGCAGCAGGAAGACCAGAGAGAAAAATGACAAGTTTGGTGTTTTCCGGTGGATCCAGGGGGAACACTGAGCTGTGGAGGGAGGACCAGGCCCTGGGGGCTCAGGGTCGGGGGCAGGACAGCTGGGCCCCGCCCCCCCTGCCCACTGTTCCCAAGAACCCGCCCCACGTGCCCAGGTGGGTCAGGCTGGAGAGGCCGACGCCAGAGTGCAGACCTGGATTTCTCTCCAGGGATGTCTCCTGGGTTCCCGCCAGCTAAGAGCAGCTGGATGCTGAGCATCAGGGAGCACGTCACATGAACTGCCTTTCTTAATCGGCCTGTGGTCGGCCGGCTTCAAGATGCGCTCCCAGCCCAGTGTTTTGAACCGCTCAGCACAGCAATCTGAGGCAGACCTGCCCGAGAGGTGGCTTGTCTCTGCTCCATGTGCTCAGCCTACGTCCTGCCCAGGCACCGAGTTCACGCCTGTCCTTCCCTAGTTCCGTCACCTCTCGGAGAGAACTCAGGGACTTGCTCTAACCCGGAGCTTGGCAGGGCGGCCCAGCCACTGGAGGTAACCCCAAAGCTCAGTCCCTGACAAGACACCAGAAAGCTGCGCTCAGCACAGCCTGCCCCCCACCCCCTGCCCCCAGCACCCCCTCAGACACCTCGGCTCTTGGCTCCCTTCGTGCACAAAAAGCTGGGGAGGAAATGAGATCCCCTCTGGTTTTCATCGGCTCGTTTATGTCGAGCTGCCTCGGTGATGCACTGGGTCAGGGGCTGAGCCTCCGCCGCACAGGCCAGCGGAGGTGCCCAACGCGGGCGAACGCGCTGTCATTTCACAAACGCGCTCGCACGTGCTTCCACTCAGGCTCGGAAACAAGCACAGAGCGGCCTCTTAAAACTAATTCCGGGTCTTTGCGAATTCTGCCATAAACCGAGATTCTGTTTGCGTAAGCGCTGCTTGGAAATGCAGGCATGACACACAGCGTGGAGTCTTTTCCAAACGCAGGCCTTACGGGTGGTAATTTTACAGGTTCGGCCGCCTTATCTCTGGTCATCGATGGGGAAAGTTTGACGAGCTCTATGACAGGAGTGTTTCTCCCTTCTGTGCATGAATGAAGGTGTGAAGAAAATAGCCATTTTTACTTCCAGATAAACCTGGATGATTCATTGGTTTTACAGGAATATTGTCCCAATTCCTTAACCCAGGGGTCCTCAAACTTTTTAAACAGGGGGCCAGTTCACTGTCCCTCAGGCCGTTGGAGGGCCGGACTATAGTTTAAAAAAAAAAACTATGAACAAATTCCTATGCACACTGCACCTATCTTATTTTGAAGTAAAAAAACAAAACGGGAACAAACACAATATTTGTATTTGCATGTGGCCCGCGGGCCGTAGTTTGAGGACCCCTGCTTAACCTGTGGGAGCTAACATCTAAGTAAATGTCTATCTCTTTATAGTTCCCGCCATATTAATTTACTTCTCCCTGCTCTGAAAAGTATTTAAGGAATCGTAGCTGCATTTGAAGATTCCCACGAACGTTTCTGTAAAGACTGAAAAGTCAGCAAACGCATAAGGAAAACAAAAGAGCTGGGGGAAGGCGAGCAGACAGAGGTGGTGATTCTGCAACAAGACCGGGTTCGAGTAGGAGGCTCGAGTAGGAGGCTCATTAAACCCCTGCGCCCACAGGCACCGGCCCTCCCTTGCGAAAGGGCTTGAGTCACATTCAGATGCTGAGGTATGGGCCCCGGAGGGTCCTGCTCTCTGTGGGTGCTCCGCTGGGGAAATCCAGCTAAACCTCAGACTCTTTGCAAAATTAGAAGCACCGTGAATAGTAAAAGCAGCGGGAGAAGGGAGTGGTTGGACCAAATGCAGTCAGCGAAAAATGCATCTTTTGTCTCCCTGTGTGAAGACCGTCTGTGAAGGCAGGATGGAGGGCGTGGGGGAGGGCGGTGGAATCTGGGACTAGAGGCAGGGAGGGTGCTGGGCTGACATGCAGGCAGGCTGTCTGCGTCAGTTCCACTCACACACGATTGCCCCCTGTCCAGGCATCCGCCTGGGTGGACACAACCGTGGAGAGCCACGGAAATGGGTTGCATTTTCTTGGCCCCTTTAAGAATATCCTTTCAGCCCTAACCGGTTTGGCTCAGTGGATAGAGCATCGGCCTGCGGACTCAAGGGTCCCAGGTTCGATTCTGGTCAAGGGCATGTGCCTTGGTTTCGGGCACATCCCCAACTGGGGGTGTGCAGGAGGCAGCTGATGGATGTTTCTCTCACATCGATGTTTCTCACTCTCTATCCCTCTCCCTTCCTCTCTGTGAAAAATCAATAAAATGAATTTTTTGAAAAAGAATATCCTTTCAATTGGAAAATGTTAGAAACTATTTTGCCCAGATGCAGCGCTATCCACAGTAGTTCAACCTAAGTTGACAAAGGAAAAAGGCGTTTCTTGAACCGATTTTTGCTTTATTCCCTTTGCTTTTCGTTATACATAAAAATGTCCTCTTGGTAGAATCAGGTCTGGCATTAAAAACGACCCATCTAACATGCTGTGTGTTTGTTCAAGGGCTTAGGACTCAATGGGGCACCTTGCAATGAACGTCCATGTCTCTGTGGACACCATATGGCAAGTCAGTGAGAGTGTGTGTGGCCCCTGTCACTCCGCAGGTTGGGGGCGGAGCTAAGGTGCCACATTCCAGAGACGGGCTGATTTCAGGACAGCAGCACGCTGGGCCAGCCCGCAGGCCGGGAGCGGCTTACTCACCGGGAGCCTGGGCAGGTCCGGCACAGCCCCGGGGTCGGCAGGTGCGCCTGCCGCGTCGGGCAGGTGGAGACCCAGGCCGCAGCGACAGGGCAGGATGCGCATCTGAGGAGACAAGGCCGTCGGTCACAGGAGTGGGTGCAGCGGGGCCTCACACTGACACTTGCTTTTACAGTCACATGGTTTGGCTTCAGTTTTTGTTATTTTTAATTTATTGGTTTTCGAGAGAGAGGAAGGGAGAGAGAGGAAGAGAAACATTGATGTGAGAGCCAAACATTGATCAACTGCCTTCTGTACACCCCGAACGCGGGATTAAGCCCGCAGCCCGGGCATGTGCCCGGACCAGGAATCCAACCTGCTACCTGTTGGTGCTCAGGACAACACCCAACCAATGAGCCACACTGGCCAGATAGTCTTTTTTTTTTTTAATTGATCTTAGAGAGGGAGGAAGGAAGAGAAAGAGAAAGATCAATGTGAGAGAGAAACTTGGATCTGTTGCCTCCTGTATGAGCCCCAACCGGGGATAGAACCCACAACTTGGGTATGTGCCCTGAGCAGGAATCAAACCCGTGACCCTCTGGTGCACAGGACGATGCTCGACCACCGGAGCCACACGGGCCAGGGTTAGCCTAACTCTGTCACAGCAGGAGGAGGTCGGACCCTGGACCAACACAGATGAGCTCACAGCCGACTTACTTAAGGTGAAGTTGCTATTTTTCTAATTTTGAAGAAATTAGCAAGAACTGAGAGGTAGCTAGCGTTAACTCCACTGAGTTGTCTTCACAGAAGGGCCTCGCATTGTGCTCTAGGGAGTTCTCTTACCTGAGGAGACACCCTTGGGCTCAACTAGTCAGAGAGGAAGCAGTAGAGGACTACGAGGACTACGACAGCCGCGGGGGACGGGGCAGTGTCGGGGCCGAGAGGGGACCCTATTCCCCAAAAGAGGTGGACATCTCGGTGGTAGTTTCCCACCGTAAACTGTCAGCAACTGCAGGGCCACAGGGAGGGGCTTGCCCAGTGGCCATGGTCTGCATAGGACGCTCCTTGTGAGAACACACGGGCTCGGGCTTCGTCACGTGTGGCAGAGCATGTGCTTCTCATGTGTGCAGGGCTGGGGGTCCCTGACCTTCTCTCCGCGGCCCTCGGCCACAGTGAGCACAGGGCTGCCGGGCCCCGTGGGGACATAGAGGGCCTGGGACTGGCCTGGGGGGAGCTGTCATCCAGGGAGTGCAGGGGCGCGGGGGGTAGGGGGCTGGGGGGGCGTGCGGGCACTGAGAGGCTCCGGGAGTTCAGTGGGCGGCCACGCACCTGTTCCAACTGCCGTTCCAGCCTTTCTTGCTCCAGCCGGCACGCTTTTACCTGTGGACAAAGCACAGATATCTGCCTATCAGAAAGGGTTCGATGGTTCCTCCTGACGCTGCTTGGGACCAGCTCTCGGGGACGCCCCGGGGCTGCGGGGACCACGGAGCGGAGGTGCTGGGGAAAGCAGGCGGCCTTCGGGCTTTCCGGACACGCCTGGGCTCCATCCCGGAAATCCCACATGAGGTCTGGGGACGTGGGCGGTTCATGTTGTTATTGCAGTGTGTTTGGGGCCCTTACAGTTCTCAGCGTGAGGGGGTACATTTCCGTCTGGATGGAGGAGGGGAGGAGCAGATGTGGGTGTGGACATAGAACAGCTCCTGTTACTCACTGAATGGAACTGGGGCGGCCACAGGGTCAGGTCCCACAGGGGCCCGGGCACGTCCTGAACAGTGTCAGATAGTTTGTAGTGCATTTTCCTTTCTTAAGCCAAAATTGTGTCCCCTGCATTTTTTCCATTCACATTAGCATTTACCCATCGTGGTGGCTTCCTGTGTCTGCTTTCATTATAGCCGATCATGCTTTATTTTAGCGGCTTACATTAATAGACCCTATTCCAACGAGCTGGCTCACGTTACCGGCTTCCAAAATACTCCAGTCACAGTTACCTTGGGGCCCCCAGAGGGAACACCTTGGTCCCACCAGAGTCTGTGGTTCTCAACCTTCTGGCCCTTTAAATACAGTTCCTCATGTTGTGACCCAACCATAAAATTATTTTCATTGCTTCTGCATAACTGTAATGTTGCTACTGTTATGAATTGTCATGTAAATATCTGATACGCAGGATGGTCTTAGGCAACCCCTGTGAAAGGGTCGTTCGACCGCCAAAGGGGTCGCGACCCACAGGTTGAGAACTGCTGCACCAGACAGACACGTAAATGACACTTAGCAACGGGCCTGTTTTTGGAAGATGGGGACATTCCACTCAGCCCTTCACAGAACGTGACAAGGACTTAGACACACGTCACTGCCCTGGGGAGTTTCAGGTTGGCCTTGGAGTCCTGGGTAGGCCAGCTCCCAGGCGACCAAAATAAATATCAGGAGGAAAAGATCAAAAGAATTAGACGTCAGAAAAGAATGTTGGAGTCCAGCTGCTGGGTAACTCCTCACTACAGTTACACTAAAAGAAACACCCAGTTGTTCCCAACTTCTCACAAGATGGTTTAAGAATCATTTCATCCCCGGTGCTGACCTCTCAGAAAAATTCAGCGTCAAATACCAGAAGCCCCAGAGCCTTGCGTTCTGCCTTAAGGGAGAGGGTAAACGGGTAGCACACACCTGCGGGCCAAGGCCCTTCGCTCTGACCTGTACCTTGGACTTCAGCTGGTTCAGCTGGGATTGCGACGTCCGGTTCATTTGCTGCAGCTGCTCTTTCTCCTGGTTGAGTCTCTCTCGGTCCGACCTCTCCCTTCTGAAGTCTTCCTCGTAGATCTGCACCTGGGAGACATTCACCGTGGTTACTGCGCTTCCTTTCTCCTCAGCGCGGGGCTCGGGGGCGTGTCCGACTGCGTGTTCCTTCTCCCTCCCATGACCATCTCCTCGCAGAGGAGCTACACCTAGCACACAGGGCTGTCATGGTGACTGCGATTCTATCTTTCTCTTTGCGTAGAATGGCCCTTCTCCACTTTCTCCTGAATCCATGGGTTCAGAAGTAGAGTCATAACATGGATATTTTGAAAAGCA